AAAAWAWRWMTYWTWWTWTWWAWATMWMARAAMACMYCWYAWAAAAAWACTTTAGAAAGAAGGGCAATATTTCTCTCCCTTTTGACTGAAAATTAAGCAAGTGGGAAAGGCTCAATTTGTAAGTGCTGTGTTGTTTTTTGGGAACAGCTGTGGCAACAATCAATGTCAGACATGATGGGCACAGCTTACAAGGGAACCGTGAGTCCCTTGTTCCCAGTGATGCACAGTGGAATTTTAGCTTTTGGCTGAAAACATGGCTCAACATTTCTCTAGTAATATTCTAAGTTTCATTACCCCAAAGTAATAAGAGCTTTTTGCAATTTTTTTCTGCTTTATGTGATGTTTTTCAAATCCCCTTCAAAACACCTTCTGCTGTTACTGAGATGACTTTGTGCTTCCCAGTTCAAAATCAAGAAGCAGTGGCAGAAATACTGCACAAAATGGTATAACAAAATCTCCAAAAGCAATTTTGAAAAAAATTTATTTCCTTTTATTGACTTAAGAACCATCCAAATTTCGATTGCGTTTTGATAAAACCTTTTAGCTGTCTCTGTTTTTCCTCAATTAGACCATGAATGAAAGCACTGAGAAGTTTCTTTTGAGATGTCCTGGCCTGAGAAATATGAGGWGGGGTGGAAGTATTACAAAATWTTTCAYCACATGGAACAAACAGGCCAAAGCAACATTTCCCCAAAGAACAAAACTCAAATATGTGAGGGTCAAGTTTAGCATAAGATCAACAAATTTCCACAAGAAACTGTGTCAGCAGTTTCTGTTTTAGGGAAGAACCAGCTTATTYTCACTGTAAATTTATTTTTCATCTACTTCCAGCACAGATTTTCAATGGTTTATTCCTACTCTCTACCTGAGACAAATTGGAACACGCAGAATTTATTCTTCGCGTTATTTTTCAATTTTCACTTCTCATCTCGGAAGCGTAGGATTAGTCACAGCACAATGCACCCTGAGTGCTAAGGGCTCTCTAAACCCTCCTGGAAATCTTCCTKCAGCCAACACATGTGATGAGACAAAAGGTGGGTGCAGGAATGGAGAGGAGCACAAGAGAACAAGAAGATTGGACTGAACAGGATGACAGATCATGGCCTCAAGTCTCACTTGTCTCATGACATTTAATTTTGAAGGCCCCAAGGTACAGAAAAGCAGGAGCCAAGCCCTGTTTTTGTTTCAGGGCTGTTTGCAAAGATATTGTCCCCACGTGGGAGGAGCAGCACTGCACRAAGTGGYGAAACACTGCCTTAGAGGTGCAMTGAGTGGCTGACAAAGCCTGGCATSGTTGGCACTGACACTTCCASGAGGCACAGCAGGMAGAGCTSAGTGRGRAGAGTGACAGGAACACGGCTGTTCGTGTTTGGGGTGATGGAGAAGGAGGGGCACAGAAAGGGAACATGCAGTGTTCAATCACAGAGGACACAGGCTGGGTTTAAACCCTGTGGTTGTGCACTGGTCTGGCCACAGGAGTTGATTTTATTCACAGAGAAGGGTTGAAGGCAAAGATTGAGTGGAAGGCTCACATTTGTCCTTATCCATGTTGAGCCCTACTAAAGAGTCAGGTGTGGTTGCACATAAATGTTATTAACAAGCCCACATGTAATTTTTACACTAAAGAGAAGACAGAAGACAGGAGGAAACATCAAGGATGAACCTGAGTCCTGCAGCTCAACGCACTCACTGCACTGCTGGTGTGTGTTCAGGAGTACAGGGATGGGTGAAGAACAAAAATGGGAGGAGGCAACACAATTCAATGCCCTCAGGACCCAGTGGCCAGAAAGAGTGGCCTCAAGGGAGAAGGAAAGACATCAGCAGATGCCAAGGAATTCAGTAGATTCCAAGTAATCCAGTGGCTTTTTTTCCAATGTCCACTGTCTCCACTCCCCCTTCATGTTTCTTCTGAGAAGTTTGTAGGTGTGTTCCAGGGGTGGGAATGGGGTTCATAGGTACAGCTGCTCCTTCAACACTGAAATCCTTCCCCCATCACCGGGATTTAGCCACAAAGATTTGCTCATGTGAAACACAGAGCTGGCATTTTGAAAGCTCTGGTGAGAAAACGAAATGTGAATCAAATCCGACCCCAGAGAACGGAAGTTGCGTTAACAGAGAGAAACAAGAGATTTTGTTCTTCATCTTGGACTGAGCTGCTGGCTTACATCTGACTCTCTGCTGGCTGTGGGGGATCCTCCACCCAGATTTGATAAAACTTTTTAGCTGTCTCTGTTTTTTCTCAATTAGACCATGAATGAAAGYACTGAGAAGTTTCTTTTGAGATGTCTTGGCCTCAGAAATATGAGGTGGGGTGGAAGTATTACAAAATCTTTCATCACATGGAACAAACAGGCCAAAGCAACATTTCCCCAAAGAACAAAACTCAAATACAAGCAAGTTTTGCTTTGTTTGTATGTATGGGGTTGGGCCTGGTATCTTGAATCAGAACTTTTTCCCTACGAACCAAGAAAACTGTACTCTTACAGCGTGGATGGATGGTTTATCTAATCCCAAGAAAATCCATATATAATCAGCAGGGCTGCTAAAGAAATACCTCCAGAACAACCAGAACACAAAGGAAAGGATACTGTGGGCAGGGCAGGTTACCAACCTTCAAGGAATTAAAGACTTGCAGTGGAAAAAAACGATCTGGAGGTCTTCAATACTAATATTTGCCAGAAAAAACCTACTCATTAAAGGTGCTGCCTGTGTTGGAAAACAGATTCAGTGACCACAGTCACTAAATGCCTTTGCTTTATACAATTTTTCTTTCTGTTATTCTGAGGAACCAATTTTGTGCTTTTCCTAGGCAAAAAGCCTTGGTTGCTACAGGACAAAAGACAATAGAAGATGCAGCAAAATGGTAAGTACCTGTGATTGCTAAGGTGTGCCTTCATATTAAACCTTAATTTAAACATTAAAAATCCTTGTGGATGTGCTACTCCTGTAGCTGGACTGGAAGCTAAAGGCCACAAAATTCCTCAAAACTTGAGATTTTTTTTCTCATTTATTTCACTCAGAGAGAGAAATATTTGTATTTTTACTTATTCTCGGAAGCAAGGTTGCTTGCGGAAGGTCCAAGGTAAGTTAAAAAGAAGCAGCTACTTTTACCAGATGTCAGTGCTTGGGACTGGCTGGTCTGGGCAGAAAATCCTCCCCAGCTTTAAACCTCCTGAGGGAAAGGAACAAGGAAACAGAGAAAACTTCTATAAAGTCATGACAGCACTTACATGCAGAAACATCAGTGATTGCTGAAAGGCTCATCACAAAGTAAGCTGAAAGGCTGATAGTCAGAGGGAGATATTACTACAATCAAATCACTTGTTCCTTTTGAACCCACGTTTTTTCCCCTTGACCTAGACACCSACAGAGTATATAATATGTCCTTCATGTCCTCATAATTGATTTATTTTCACCTTCAAATTAAATTCAGTCTTTCTTTGCACTTTCTTTTGGGTTTCGCTTTGCTTTTTTCCCCCAAGTGGTTCAGTTGATTTTTCTTTTTTGTTTTTTTTCTTTTCTTTCGTGAAAATCCAGAGGAGGGATTTTAGAATGGCACGTTCTTTACAAATAACTTTTTCAGGGATGCTGCCACGCTTCCCAACAATCACTCCCAATCCAACAGCTGCAAAGACAAACACACAGCATGTGAAGGACATGCTGAAAGGTATTCATCAAATGGCATATGATTTTCTGACTTTGCTTGTGCCTTTCTGATTTGTCCTGTTTGCTTTTCTTAGGGCTGAATTAAAGGGCTCTTTTTGAGGTTTTTTTTTTAATCTTCAGCTAGTTTTAATTTTGTCATTCTTTAATAWGTTCTACCCATTGCCTTTTTCCTCCTCTGGTCTTCTGTTTCCAGTCATGAAAAGAGGGAAAAAAACCCCAAACCCCTAAAAAGGTATTTTATGTTTTTTCTCGTTTCCAGATACTGATAGAAGTGAAGGCACATAATAAAATACAAAGTACTCAAAAAATAAGCAGAAAAAAATTCTCCATTATTTAGTGCTTCAGAGAGAAAAAAAAGCTTTTACTTCAGCTTTTTATTAGTAAGACAATAATAAAATTGTATTTCCTTTTTCTGATCTCTGCTACGGAGGCCTTCAGCCACAGGAAACAAGAGCCAGCAGCGCCCACACTCACTSTCAGTGATACTCTCTTGATTCCAGGCTGCATTCCCACTGCAATGACCCCTCCCTGGATGACCCAATCCCTCAGGAATACGCTCTCTACCTGTGCCCCACGGGCCGCCTGCACAGCCGCCTGCAGGACTTCTGGAAGGAGAGCAAGCGCCAGTGCGGGAAGAACCGAGCCCACGAGGTGTTCCCACACGTCACCCTCTGTGACTTCTTCACGGTGAGGCACGGGAGGGTGCAAGGGAGGGTCCAATTTCAGCTGGGTGATATTTGGTGCAACCGGGCCACCTGCTGTTGTCTGATGCCAGAACTTGTTGGTGATCAAATGACATGACCCAGGTCCAGGCACATTGTTTAATGTTTGTGATGCTTAATGTTTGTGATGCTTAATGCTTGAGTGGGATATTTTGGGGCAGCTGATCCATCTAGATCAGCCTGTGCAGCCCAGGCTACTGTCAGGGTTCCAAGAGTCCACTGCTGCATGGATTTAGGGTGATAAATCTTCCCAGCCAGGGCAGCTGTGCAGCAGGGACAATGTTATCATGGGATGCAGACAGCTTTGSTACCAAACCTGTGGGAATCTCAGGGAAACCTCTGCCTACCCCAGAGAGCCCCATCAGAAGGTCATGCTGTGGTGGCATGTTCCAAATCTTACTTTTTTCTTTCACCTTGTTGAAGGTGAAGCCTGGAATTCAGTTTTAGCGTGATGATGGTGCAGCACTTGAACTGCTGGGATGTGCTGATACAGGCWTGAGCCAGAGCAACTGGACAAAAATGACTTTGTTCACTGTACTTCTATGTTAAACCTTTCAGTGCTTCCTCCCCCTYGAGGGTGGGTCATCACAACCATGCCAAAAAGTATTGATAATGAAAATTAGATTATTTTGTTGCAAAATATTGGATGGTGCTCTATGGCCATTAAACTCAATTACACAGAACAAAAATCATCAATTAATAACGAATGCTGTGCTCTAGGGAGGCATCAGGTTCAAAGGCCTGTCTGGAAGAGATGACTGCACTGCAACCCTCACCATGCACATCTCAGAACATACTTAGAACTGGAGAGGGAAATCATGATCCCTGCCTCATTTCAGACAGGCTATTGCACACATGATAAAATATTTTGGTTTTTTTCCTAMCCAGGCTAAATACACCTCGGTTTGAAGGCTCCTCCTCCAGTTACAGAACCAGGACACTGTGCTGATCCAGCTGTCCACTGTTACTGGGTTTAATGTCAGGAATTTCAGGCAAATTCCTATGTATTTTGTGTTTCCCAGGAAGTTTATAACCCCCCAGTTTTCTGGCAGTGCTGTATGACAGCGGCTACAACGCTGCCTGTGAGCTGCTGGGTAAAGCTTGTTCCTCCTCTGTTCTCTTCCAGTGTGAAGACCAGAAAGTGGAATTATTGTACGACGTCTTAAAGCGAGTTGGTGACAGCTTTTYCCAGAGGTTTCCACCATCCATTTCCCTAACACTACATGCATCCCCCAGCTACCTTGGCTTCTTCATTGATGACAGCCATGCAAACATCCTCAAGGAGTTTGCTGTGGCATTCTCATCAGAGGCTTCRGCCCTGGCAGGTAGGACCAACACCAGAGGGAAAACGGGTGGGATCTAGCACAGATGTGTAGGCACAGTATTGAAAACTTTCCCTGTGCCTCCAGAGAAGTTTAGCTGAAGTTTTCCTGCCATCAAGCACCCCTTCCTGATACAGGTTAGGAAGCAGAGTGGCAGGAGGAGCATCTTTTAGTCTTTAAAGATACAGAAGCTGAAATTTTCGTGTGTACAACTTGGCAGGCCATGGATCAGGATATCCAAAATGGACAAACAATCCCTGTTCCCAGATCTCCACCCCATGGTGCTATGGCTGATCTTGCTGGCCTGTCTGCATCCCTGGGAATAGGGCTAATACCCTTTCCAAGGGAAACTGCATCATCAGTGGAGACTGAAGGGGCACACCCCCAGCTTTGTCTGGGAGAAATGAGATCAAAACATGACAGATTGGGAGAGAAATTCAAACCATGTTCATTTTTTTGGCATGATTAAAACCATTATTAAAATCACCCTTTAAAACCATTATTCAGTAGATCCACCTTGCCACTAATTACTATATATCCTGCATCATGCAAAGCCTGTAAGATGGAACAAGAAGAGCTTTAAATGACCTTTGTTTCTGTGTTGTGACGTGATTGTTTTTCCCTAGACTGCCRTGTGAAGCCCTCCTTGAAGCAGTTCCACCTGACCTTGGCTCACAAGTTTTACCCTCACCATCAGAAGACTTTGGAACAGTTGGCCAAATGCATCAACCCYGGGGAGCCCTGCCAGTGGGTGGCTGCACTCTACTCACGGGACATGCGCTTCGTGCATTACCAGGTACCAGAATCTGATTGATTTCATTACATTTCCTGAGATCTTAATTTTCTTTGCTACAGTTATCTTGCCTTTTCCATCCTTAAGAAAATCAGTGCCTGTTTAGTCTTTCAAAGGGCATTTAGGTTTAGTCTTTCCAGTGCCATTTTGGGTTGAAAAATTGCACTCCTGGATCAGTAGATAATACATCTATGGTAGGTTGCTTGACCTGCATGTCTCAAAATTGAATTCCAAAARCCATCAGAAGAAACTAATCTTGCCATGGCAAGAGAAAATAAAACAGAAAATCATGATCCTTTAATGTTTGCTAGGATTTGTCAGTTTAGAGGTTTGCAGTAAAATCCCATTCAGCAAAATTAGTTTCCTTGATTGTTCCAGCCATAATGAAAACTGCACCAGTGAGCAGGGCTCATTTCTCGCTGATGATTTTCTCTTTAGCAGACTCTTAGTTAAAACCAGCCAATATGCCTTCAGTTCTCATTTCCAAATTTAAATTATGGAATGATCAACAGCTTTTTGTCAGATCAGAAAATCACTTTGTCACAAGTCTCATCTTGGATTTTAGTCACACTCAGGAGAGCTGAAAGCAATCACAAAAATAGGTCGGATCTATGCTCACATTCAAATAAGTCTCTACTGGTTATAGGGGGAAAAAAAGCAATTTTGTGAAAACCAAGTGCGTGTTTATACACATATTGTGAATGTGGAAGTGTCTTTGTTTTCCTCCACTGAAATGCCACTAAAGAGCAGATTGCAGAGTGGAAAATAGAATGGGTTTTGTGTCCAGGAGAGGTGAACAAGCACCCCCTGAGCTGCTGCAGCACAGGGAACACCCTGACCCTGCTGTGTGTTCCCCCAGAGGCTGAGAGCTCTCTTCCAGTACAAACCCCAGAACATTGACGARCTCATGATCAACGCTGGGGATTTGATCTACGTGGACCCCACACAGCAGAGTGATGTGGGCGAGGGCTGGGTGATCGGCACCTCRCACCGCACCGGCTGCAGGGGCTTCCTCCCGGAAAACTACACGGAGAAAGCCCACGAGTCGGACACGTGGGTCAAGCACAGGTACGTGGGGGTTTCCAGGGTGTKGCTTTCCATCAGCCCCTTTTCCTGCTGTGCCAGTGTTCCTCCCTCATCATAAGCTGGGGGCTGAGGAGAGGGGGGTCCCAAGGGTCTGGGTGGGATGCTGGGACATCTGCTGAGAGGAARGGGACAGGACACACAGCCTCAGACACCCCGAGTTCATGAGTTCAGCTGCTCAAGGGATGACCCCTGTTTGCCCTTGAACAACCTGAACACCCTAATGAATTTTAAAAGAGCACACTCTGCCAGGGCAGACTGAGCCTTCAGCCAGGCTCTCTGCTTTCTTCTTTTTTCTCATTTTGAGAGCTTGTCAAGTTAGCTTGAAATGAAACACCACAAAGATCGTTCCACCACCTTGGCACCACCCTCATCTTGTTGATGTGCCCTGCATCAGGAGACACCTGTCTGGCTTCCTGCACTTCATTCTGCAAGCTGATGCTACTTGTAGATTAGAGCTGATTTTTCTAAGCAGGGAGGTTTTGGTGCCCTTTTTGATGTCTCAGAGATAGGGAGGAGGCCACCAGGTAGTGTTTCCTGCTTGAAGGCACCACTTTTGCAGGGTTACACCCAMTATACACCATCAGTTCATAATATTTTACCCTCATTTTTATGAGCTGTGTTTTAAATGAAGAGCARAGTGATGAGGTGGACTGCAAGTGTACAAAAAGTGTTGAATGGAACATGAATCCTGACTTACTGATCCTGTAAACAACATCATGACTCAAAAATCTCTTCTATTTGTGYGTGTGCGTGGATGTTTGTGTCTGTGTGTGTTGCTTCCGCTTTTTCTACAGGGAATATGTTTTTGAGACAGCTTCAAGATCCTTCACCAAAACCCAAAAGGAACCCAGTGTAAAGCTGAATGGGGAARCTGCTAATCCCAGTATGTCCAGGAGTGTAACCAATGTGCTTTCTCTTATGGTAATTATATTTTTCCATTTCTAGTCTTATCCATTTCTTTTCTTAACCTGCTTCAGCAGAGAGAGTATTAATTAATGGCATTTAATAAATTTAGTAGTATCTTCCTTTCCTTCCCTCCCATTTTCATGTTTTGTTGTATATTTATATATATTCCTTATTTATGTTGTACATTTACATACACACACACTCATACCATGTTGTGTAATATGTCTTCTTTTATTTTTTTTTTTTTTGCAATGTATATTATGTATATTACACTTGCTGTTCATAAAACTTTCCTTGTTCCTGTCATAGTAGCACAGCACATGAGTTCTGTGCTCAGGTTTCTCTGAGTATGGGTGACAATTCTGGGTCATGGAGACAATGGGTATGGAGACAATTCTGACAGGTGAGACAGGCACAACCTCCCCTGACTCTCACATGGCTTCAAGCAGAATCCCTATATCAGAATTAGGCTCACTGTTCATGGCTGCTCTTATGTGCAGATTCTATGGATGTCATCTTGGAGGTTTCCATGGWCCCAGATCACATTTAAATGTTCCATTTCCTTCTCTATTTTTAGATTTGTAGCTACTGCAAACAACTGCACAGAACAGCTAGCTGGAATGGTTAACAGCACTGGTGCTAACTCATGTTTTTGTCCCAGGTTCAAAATCACAGGTATCAATTTTTCCTGTGTTTTCCACTGGTCTTCTGGTAGGAAGAGCAAAGAAAATAAGGACTCTGATTTTTCTCCTACAGCTCATTTGCACCTGCATTGCCTTTTTGGCTCTTTCGGGGATGCCAAGACACATTTTCAGCACAGACATGGCTCAGAAACCCCTCTGGCTTGCTGGCTCCACAGCCTCTCTTCCTGCTGTGCTGGGCAATAACCCTGAGCTGGCTGGKGTCAGCATCTGAGAAACTGAGGGCACCTGGAGGGAACTTCCATCCTGGGGCCCCCAGGACATCGTGTTAGGACTGACTATAAGACAGAAACTTCTGAACGAGTCACACGTCCTTCCTCCGGCTCTTGGCTGCCCTTGGCCTGTCTTATCTAGGTCAGACCTGTGGCACAGCCCAGGCTCAGCCTGAGGAGCAGTTTTTACAGATGGGCACATCTCCAGTCTAGCGTTTCCCTGGCCTCTGGGTTCCTCTCATGCAGAAGAGGAAGACCACAAAACATTGTGTTTGTACTCTGATCTTATGGCAGTTCATTGCCATTTCATGATAGAAATGTGAGTGTTTAACAGAATACACAAATATCAACCTCAAACCACTTCTTAAGARTTCCCTTTTCTGTTGCTGAAGATGCAGAGCACTTCTCAGTGCTGCAGCAGTAATGCTGTTTTTAGTTTTGAAACCTTTGACCTGTTTCCTTCTTGTCTTCTCATCTGTATTTAATGTGCATCATATACTAACCCCAAACTACTCAGAACTTATTTGTAATTCCATGCAGTCTAAATAAAAAAAAGAGGCTTATAGGAGATCTGGGTTCACTGTTGACTTGGCCACAGTTATGAAAATGTAGTAATATTTTCATTAGAAAAAGAAGGAGAAGCTTTGTGTAGAAAARGGCATTACAATTTAAATCTTAGAGAGTTTTTTTTTGTTTATATCCATGTGATATATATTAAGCTTATGATTCTTTCCATACTGAGATTAAAATATCTGTTACCAGCACTGCCTTTCACTAGTGCTAACACAGAATTGAAACCTGTAGCCCATGAGAGTCAGGGATGTGACCTTTGACAAGACAAGAGGAAACRGCCTTAAGCTGCACCAGGGGAGGTTCAGGCTGGGTATCAGAAAAGATTTCTTCACTGAACAGGTGAAACATTGGAAGAGACTGTCCAGGGAYRTGGTGGARTCACCRAACTTGGAAGTATTCAAGAAATGACAGGATGTGRCACTCAGTGSTCTGSTTTGSGTGACAAGRTGGGGACTGGGCACAGATTGGACTCRKTGATCTTGAAGRTCTTTTCCATCCAAATGATTCTGTGATTCTGTCTCTCATTCACCTTAAGTGGAGAACCAGTCAGGCTTATCACTGTCCTAAAAACAAACACCTATTACAGCAAATCCTCTCCAGGAATCCAGACTTTTCCTGCTTAGAGATAATACCTTAATGAAACCCCTTTTTCCCCCCAGCTGTCTCAGAACACTGTCCTGCGGAGAGGGGTGCTGGTGATGCGCCACGGGGAAAGAGTGGATCAAGTCTTTGGCAAATCTTGGCTTCAGCAGTGCCTGACTGCAGATGGTGAGTAAGGTAACTTGAGGATCTTCAAAAAGCCAGCACCAAAACCAACTAACCCCAGTAACAGGTAGAAGAGATTCAGTCTTCTGAGTGTGAATGTAGTCACTGACACAAAGGAGTGATAACAGTTCAAGTCAGGCACAGCACTGCTTTGACCTGCACACAGCCACATCACAATGTCCTAAAATCCTTCATGTTTGTGCTGATAAACTCTGCAGACAAACACTCCCRTGCTGCTGACAGAAGTGTGTCTCACTGACAGATGGACAAATCACAGGAGCACACTCAGCCACTCTCATTATGCAAGGTGGTGGTTGCCAGACCCCTCCAGCTCTCTGTGCCTGAGTCAGAATCATAGCCTGTTGATAAGAGTCATGTTGCCTCACTGATCTAATCTGGGGAATCTGCGGTGGAAATGAAATGTCAGCACTGACATRAATTAAAATCTGAATTTTCTCTCTCTTTCTCAAAACAAAAAAAATTAAAAAGGTTTTTTCAGGTGAAGAAAACTGGTCCAAAACAGGGAAATGTGTGWCAGAAGGAAGGAGGGGAACAAGAAAGTGGGAGCTCATGAGCGAGAGCTTATGCTGAAAGTCTGCCTTGCTATGCTGGAGATTCCGCATGTTTAGTGCATGAAATTCACCAGATAAGGAGAGTGGCACCTTCTGGCTGCACAATCAATACATTCATTTAATTTTGATTCAGTGGAAATATTTGAGTTTTTGTCATTTTAGTTATTGTAAAAGAATATAAATAGGGAGTGGATTTTTGTTTCTCTTGAGGGCCATAAAGCCAAATTCTCATGATTTCCCATTCTCCCTCCCCTCCTCACCATTTGCTCCTTCCTAGCTTGCAGAAGAGGGGCTATTCTGCTAGGTTAAGTCATTTCCCAAGCCAGTGTTGTGACCTTAAAATATGACCCCTTTAAGGTAATAGCACTGGCTGTTTTTCATTCGTGACACGGACTGTAAAACGAACATAACACAGCTACTGCCTCCCTTGTGCCACAGAAAAATGTCCTGCCTTGTTTCAGGGAAATACTACAGAGCGGATCTGAACTTCCCCTCCTCCCTGCCAAAGCGGAAAGACGGCTTGAAGCAGTTTGAATGTGATCCTCCTTTATCTTGCTGTGGTATTTTCCAGGCAAGACTTATAGGTAAGCTGGATATTATCCTCCTGCAAAGGGAAAGGTTTGGGAAGYAGGCTGTCATCATCTGCCAAAGCTCATGCTGGCTTTGCAGCAGCAAAATTTCCTACCAGCAYTCACTGTGGTGACAGCTCTGTAGGCAACCACTGCAAGATCTTAAATAGTAAAATAGAGAACACAGCTGGTTAYTCATCTTTGAGACCCCTCTGCCAGTTTGTGGCAAAGAAAGTTAAAATAAAGAAGCCAGAACACTCCCTGTGCCCTGCTGCCTGTCTGCAAGGGATTAATGCCTTCTGCAGCTGTCYCTGAATGGGCAGTGAGGAGTGAAGGGGCGGAGGAAACAGCTCCATGGTCAGCAGACTGTGGTCACCTCGCTGCAGGAGGGTGGGTGGTGTGGGTTAGGCTGACCCAATGCACTCACYAGATGAAGCTGTTTGTGCTCCCTGAGCAAGAGGTCTGACTGTGACAGTGCTGGTCTGCTGCAAATGCTCATCTCTGATAGATCAATATATGGACACAGCCAAATGCCTAACTGCTGTTTGCAGATTTGGAGTGAATCTTCTGTAATTATCTTTCCAACATTCATTTTAAAGTTGATGTTTCCACCAGAATGAGCTTTCTAATGAGCCCAATCAGCAGACAGTGTGAAAAAAATTAATAGAAAGGGACTGGCAACATTTCCCATGTTGATAAAACTGCAAAGCTCCGAGCTGTTTTTTTGTACAAAGTATTTTGTAGTGGTTTTTCATCTGTCACACTTTGCTGCTGCCATCCAGGGGAAGCTCTGCTGGACCAGGAGCTGACGGTCAGCCACGTGTACTCATCACCCGCCCTGCGCTGCGTGCAGACAGCTCAGCACCTGCTGCAGGGTAAGGCAGCAAAACCTGCCAGGTGCTTCTGCCACACTGCAAACATCTTCACCAAACTTCCCTGAAGCCTCTGGCATGAGCAATTAAGAAGATGTACGACTTTGTGGTTATTTGTGTACTTCAGCAGGAAAGACGAGGTGGTTTTGACTRCTGTGAATGCAGGCAGCAACAAACCTCCTGAGTGTGCGCAGTCTGTGGGATATGGTGACATTAACACTGGTCCTTGATAGTTAAAATGGAATTTAATGTTATGTGAAATAGGGCTGCTTCACATCTGCTTGAATTCAACACTAGTAGCTGATCATCAAATCACCACTGCCACCTCTCCCAGAACCAAAAAGCAGATGTTTCCAGTGCTCTGAAGGATCTATGGATCAGGGAAGACTGCTTTCATGTTCTCTTTCACGAGCCAAACTATTGTCATGCTTCATATTGAAGAACCTCTTTTCTTATTTTCCTCTTCCTCTCTTCTTTTTTCCCTCCTGTCCCTTTCAGCAAGTTCACARTTCATTACCATGTTTACATCAGAATGCAATATCTGGGAATTAGTGCCACTCAGCAACCTCTCTTGAGAACACTCTAGAAATAATGTTTGTTTTGACAAGAGAATTCCATTTCTAATACTGGACAATTTACTTGCCCCACTGAGGAACGCTGAGCAAAATGTTCTGTAAAAATGGTAAAAATGTTCCCTGTCTGAGGTTTATTCAGTTTGTAACCTTACTGAGGTTTTTTCTTCTAGCAGAGCATCACAAGAGAGCTTCAAAAATTATGATTTGGATAATAATGATGATGATAATTCACAGACCCTTAACATTAGTCAGGCAAGAATATAAGGATGGCTTCCTTTAATCAATTGTTTGGCAATAAGTAATTCATTAATGAGAGTACAACAGCAAACAAGGGAGAATGTATAGCCTGAATGCAGCACTTTGAGTGTACCTTTCTCTTAAGATGTATTTCTTGTCTTGCAGGGCTTAGATTAAATCAAAAAGTCAAAATCAGGGTGGAACCGGGRCTGTTTGAATGGACCAAGTGGGAAGCAAGCAAAGCAATCCCTAACTTCATGACTGTGGCAGAACTGGTAGAGGCATCTTACGACATAGAGACAAATTACAGGTAGTTGCTCTGTGTCTCACTGATAAAGCTGTGGGGTTTTTCCCTGAGGTATCTTTTCTTTTTATGTGTCATAAATCRCTACAAACATTGCAAAGATGAGCTGATTCTGATGAAATTCAGATCAGAATAAGATGTCAAAATAAGATATGCTGTCACCAGCACATGGGTACATTCGCACAAATATTTGAGTATGGGACCAGCACTGCTCTGGTACTGCCTTGAGAGCTGCTGGCTCAGGCCCACAGCTGGGCGTGCACCATCATAGCTGCATTATGGGCATTAATCTCAGGTGCCAGGAGCTTCGCTTTTACCTTTGGTCCATGTGAAAAATGCTTTACAAATGTGAAGAACAACCTGATTTTCAGGGACAAAGAAATGTGACATTATATAAGATCAGTCAGYCCTTTGCTAAGGGCCTGCAGGACAGCAGCAAGGGGTTTTGGGGACAGGATAACAGAATATCACTAATATTGATGTTTGGGACATTGCTTAAAATTACTCAAAGGTTCATACTGTGCTCAGCAAGGACTTTTTGGAGCCCTCATAACTTGGCGGGGTGAGGGCTGATGCCTTTTCTGAGCACTTGCAAACCACAGCMCGGCAGGAAATGATAAGCCTCCAATTCAACCCAGCTCCTCATCTTGCTCACAAACTAGGCTGCCTGGTGTTTGCAGTGCACAGCCAGATCCAGGACATAGCTCAGCTGTCTCTGGGATTTCCCACAAATTTAAGAAAGGAGGAATGGGAACATCTCATGTCTTCATGCGTTCCTTACAGCCAAGCAAGTGCAYCCTTGTTTGAGGTTGCATGAAAGAACTGCCACGATTCACAACAGTCTGAAGGTCAGACTCTTTGGGTTTTTAGGTGCCTGAAGAGTCCTGGTATATAAAGTAAAGTAGAATTCCTGGTCTCAGCAGAAGTGCTCAGATACTTGGGAGTGATGCATTGTGACTACTATCTCTGGAAACACTTTTAACTCTAGAAGTTAAAGACTTTACTGTCAATTTGACCAGCAGTGCAGATAAGCCTCGATTGCTGTAGATTTTTAATTACTTGTTTTATTGAGGAGATTAATGCTGAGGCACCAGATCTTGCAAGGATTCACATCCTCAGTGTCTCTCCTTGGTTTGAGCTCGGTCAGGATTGAAAGCACTGGGCAGCTCCACCAGTCTGCAGCCCATGTCTGGGCAGTGGTTCTTGCTGGCAGAATTGCTCAAAGCTTAAGTTTTTCTTAGGCATAAATCCTGCCTTAAATAAACTCCACTGTAAACTACAGGTTTTATTGAAGCATGGTTTTCCCTGCATCTGGTGCTTTATGAAAAATGAGATTTAGCCATGAGATTTAATGAAATTACTCARAGGGAAGCTAATGCTCCAGGCAAGCTGAGGTAACAGTGTGTCAGCCAAGCTAGTAGATAAACCTTTTAACAAAGTGCCTTTTCTCTGGTGTAGTCATTCRACGGTGCTAAGACATTCATTTAACATTCATTTGTGTTTTTATTGTCAGGGGTAACTTCCCACTCTCTTCTCTGGTGCCGTCAGAAAGTTATGAAGACTATGTCAGCAGAAGCTCTGAGGTTATAAAACAGATCATCACTGCCTGCCCCAGCAAAGGTAAAGGTTTCAGCTCTTTGTATATTCTGTCACACACTTGCAGTAACAGGAACTGGCAGAGATTTGCCAACAGAAGCACATTTAATGTGAGTTGTTGGCACTGCACAGAGCTGAAGGTCTCAGTGCTTGTCCTGAGCTACACTGAAATAAAATGCGTGCAATTTATGGGATAGAAATGAAAAAAGTAACATAAAACAGAGACAATAGAGTACTGAATTGCACAAGTATACTCTTTTCTTAAGATAATATGCTTTCTTGGAAAGCTTTTTTCTCTTGCCCTAGCAAATGCTTTCTCTCTCACTAGCTGGCATGCTCAACACACCAGACTTTTTCTGCCCAACACAATATTCGTTAGCAAAAAGCTCTGCAAAGATTAACATCCCCCAAGTCACCTCGTACCCATGTGCTGATGGGGATCCTGGCAGTACCACAGCTCCCTTACCACCATTCTTTGCTTTTCCTGGTGTGCCAGGTGTCATCCTCATCGTGGGCCACGGCTCCTCCTTGACATCTCTCACCCGGCCGCTCACAGGGCTCCCCAACAGAGACAGCAACAACTTGGCCCAGATGGTGAGGAAGGTAAGAGGATTTTCTGCCATCAGGAAGCTTTTRGTTTGTTTCATTGTATTTCTAATAAGGAAACTACTTTTGCAGCAAATGGTGTGTAACTTCACACCACTACCAATGGCATCAGCTTTATCATTCCAAAGGGAATCTCGTGAAATTTTAGCAAAGCACTGGAGGCAAAGAAAAGGATTTTATTCTGGTGGCTTTTCATGTGACTAGCAGCTAAGTCTTTGGAGAAGATTCTCACCTGGAAAGTCAATGCCATGTAACACCTACAGACAAGAGGCACATTTGGAAACCTCTCCACCTGGAATTAGTCCCCTTCCTTTCAGCCTGGAGAAGAGAAGGCTTTGGGGTGATCTAATTGCAGCCTTCCAGTCCCTGAAGAGAGCTGACAGGAAAGATGGACATTTATAAGAACGTGCAGGGCACGACAAGAGGGAATAGCTACAATTGACAGAGTAGGTGTAGATTAGATATTGGGAAGAAATTATTGACTGTGAGAATGGTGAAGTACTGGAACAGGTTGCTAAGAGCTGTGGCTGCCCCATCCCTGGAAGTGTTCAAGGCCAGGTTGGATGGATCTCTGAGCAACCTCATCTAGTGCAAAGTGTCACTGCCCATGGGTAGGGGCCTGGAATGAGATGATCTTTAAGGTCCCTTCCAATCCAAACCATTCCACAATTCTGTRATTCTTTCTAAACAGGGMTACGAGCCTTCCCTCCCCTCCCCATGGTGCTGTCATGAGTCACTCTTTAGGAAGTTGTGTTTTCCATGGCACTGTAGGCTCTCTACCTCAGTCCTCAGCCACAGAATGAAGGGGAGAAGGGTTTTCTTGCCAGCTTTACAAGTGGGGCTTGTGMTTGAGACTTGGTCACCAACATTTTTGTTTGCTTTCTTTTGTTTGTCTTTCACCAGTGGCAGAATTCATCAGCCCAGTTTTTCTCACTATCTGCCCTTTGGTATGACCAACCAGAAAATTTGGTCTTTAGATCTGTTTTTGCCACCACTGTTGTTGCATAAGTGAGGGTAAATATATTTTGATCATCAGACCCTAATATGGATGTGATGACACAAGTTCAGCTTTCACCCCTCAGGCTTCCAAGTCTGGTTTTASTTCATTTCAGAAGTGACAGAGTATCGGGGGTTGCTCTTTTCTGCTGCAAAGCCCTGTTTCATTTCAAAGCAATGACCCTGCTGGTAATTTCCTTCCTAGATCCCTTCCCTGGGCATGTGTTTCTGTGAAGAACTGAAAGAGGAGAACAAATGGCAGATGGTCAGCCCGCCAGTGAAGACATTAACTCACGGAGCAAACGCAGCCTTTAACTGGAGAAATGTTATCATGGAAGATTAAAAGGTCATCTCACTTTTTGAAAAGGAGCCAAAGACAGGTTATGGCTCATCACAGTCCAGTTATTCATCCAGAAGACACAACAGAGCATGGGAAATGCCCTCTCTGACTTGTCAAAGCACAGAAAAACACTTCTGAGTTTGGTGCCTGAATTTCATTTTTATTTTGGTGACAGAGAAGAATGAACTTATGAACTGGTGTTCAAGTGAGAAATAACACTTCTGGTGGTGGTGAGGAAAGTACCTTTTAAYCTTATCTGAGAGTACAAAATGTTTAATAAACATGGATGTAACTATCTAATTATAACTTCCACTCCAAGATGCACTAGACAATGTTGTACTTTGAAGACCAAACTACATCTAGCAAGWAWTCCTGGGKTTTTTTTTTTTCTTTCTTCAGTCACTTGGATATTTTCAGACAATGGGAAAAACTGGGAYTGAAAAAAAGGCAACTCCTACCTGAAGAGGGGACCAGCTCTGCCTAAAGYCACTGTGTTTCCTGTTCCCTCCATCGGTTCTGTGAGACTAAATACCACACTGACTATTCACCTCTTCTTCAAATAGAGTCCATTTTCTATCACACCAGCTCCTCATCCAGCAATTCTCAAGTGATGCATATGGCAAAAGGTCTAAATTATTCCTTTTTGAGTGAAACAAAACAGATTGCTTTACAGTTGCTGGGRCAAAGAWYGATGCCCTGTGTTACTGTACTGGTSACAAAACATGACATGAGCAACTCTAACTCTGAATCCTTCCCGAGACGGCACTTGCAGCACAAGTGTCATCTTTGCTTTGTGCTGTTTGTGCCAGATTGTATAAATGGTGACACACTTCCCACATGGATCACCCAAGAGGTCTCTGTAGTTTTTCTCTACATGATGTGTTTAATTAAGGGACTGTTGCCCTGAAATTTTATGCACAAACAGGACCATGCCTTTCCACAGTCTGTTTTTCTTTGTTTTTCCTTCCTGGTTGCCAGATAACTACCTCCAGGAAAGAACAAATGTTTCTTTCGATGAAAGGAAGAAATGAAAATGTTTTTCTCAGAGCATGACTAAAAATAMTTTCATTTTCTCTCCTCACTGCCTGCTCCTATGTGACATCTCCCTGCATGCCATTAGCCATCGGGGCATACAGTGGAGCCCATCCAGCATTCTGGCTTTGGGGTTGAGAAGTATCTGACAAGCACCTTTATCCGTGGGTGTAGAGATTTTGTTATCTCAGTTGTGCAGCTGAAATGATTCGTTCTGACTTTCCAGCTCTGGTGGAGTTGCTTCAGCTCTCAGTTTTCTGACAGTGCTGCAATTTTACAGTGAAAGTCAAATGMCCCAGGGCCAAGACAGGAGTTCTTTAATGAGCAAGTGACGCAAGAAGAGGCACAGGACTCGAGCTCAGGAGATGGGTGGCTACAGCTGCAGTCCCAGAAAAAGATAAAAACACCAAGTGTCACCACAAYCTCTTCTTAGTCAGGGGAAGCAGGATGCCACTGCAGTGCTGAGAGGACTGTGGCTTGGCTACTCTTCCACATCTCACCCCAGCATACACTTGCTATCAGCCAAGAGGGGCACGTGTGGCGAGGGATGATTTTGCTCTGAACCCTGAAGGCAGYGGCCAGGCTCCTCTGTGGTCAGCAGGGGGGCAGTGAGACACAGGCCTGGCTGAGAAAGGGATGTATAACACAAGAAATCAACACGTGGGGGAGGACCGAGGTGAAGAGAGTGGGAACATCTCTGCTTTGCACTGATCTGTGTGAGCGGCCACCAGCAAGGGCCTCCCACTGCAGTGCCTGCTCCCTGAGGCTGAGCTCAGCCCCAGGCACCAAGGGCAACCTGACCCTTGGCTGGTGAAAAGCAGCCCCTTTGGGTGCCCTGTCTCCTCWCCAAGGCATGTGTTCAAGTGGAAAAGAAGGAAGAAATGAGGCAAGGATCTGGCCCTGGTCATGGCACGTCTCCTGTTGCTCCCAGGAGGTTTGAGTTCCATGCCTATAGAGAAGTGAACTGCCACCTCACAGTGTTTCCTTTCTCAGGAAATGGTTGCTTTTAGTGTGACTTGCTCTGATTTTATCAATCAATTTCAAGCCATAGGACAGGTGTCACCTGGGAAGTGGTTGCCTCAAACTGAAACCCCAGTGTGAGACATGGTCCCAGCTGGGGGCAGAGCTTGGGGGTGTGTGGCACCAGGGCTGTGCTCACACTGGTGTTTTTCTGGATTAAGCTTTTGCCAGGGATACAGCTCTRGACAGGGACCTGGCTCTGCTTTCACAAGTGGCAGTGGCTGTACTTGTTGTCCATGTTGCTGTTGTCTCTCACCACTGAAAAGCTGTGTTTCGAGACAGTTTTGCAAGCTGTGTCCCAAGTTTCAGCCCTTTGCTCCAACCTTGGGACTGATTCCTCCACTCTACATGGGAAGAAATGCAGACAAGTTGCAGGAAGCACTTTTCTTGTCCCACGGGGCACGTGTCTGTGCAATCTTGGTGGCCCAGGCACAACGACTRGATGGAACAAAAGCCCAAGTGAGGAGAAGGATGGGTGGGAATAACCCAGTGAGTCTCCCTTACTGGCAATATTCCAGAACTGTCTGGACACAACGCTGTGCCCTGTGCTCTGGGATGACCCTGCTTGAGCAGGGAGGTGGGACCAGGTGATCCACTGTGGTCCCTTCCAATCTGATCCATCCTGTGATTCCATAATAGTGGTGCTCCAGGTTCATGTGGGAAGGGAAAATGCCTGCTGAGAGTAAGGCAAGATGGCACCGTGCCCACCTGGGGTGCAGCCAGAGGCAGGTGAGACCTGTGCTGTCTTTGTTGCATGACCCACCTGCCTGAGGGGTACAGATTGGCACTAACAGACAAGAAAGAGATTAAAAGGAAACTTCCTTCAGGATCAGGATTCTTCAAAGCCACTTAAAAGAATGTTAATTTTTAAAGCACTAGTGATATAAAATTACAAGTACTTTCATTACAATTTTTCCTCTGTCTATTTAGAAATAAAGTGGGGTTTTTTTTTCCATAATGTTATGTATTAATCCTAGATTGTGTTTAACCAAACCCAACCAGTTTGGGTTAAGAAACTGTGTCTTCCTTTAAAATACCAAAATAAAATACCAAGTGACATCTCTCCCTTCACCCAGTGGCATCAAATATATTATCAGGGTGGGTCTGTTGTGAAAAATAACCTGTAGGAACAGCATCATCTCCTTTCTTTAACAGCTTTCCTACGCTTCTGCCACTGTGTATAACATAACAATGAAATACTTTTTTTGCTTTTCAGTCATTTTGGTCTGCAAAAATAATGTTGCTAGAAGCCAGTTAACGGCACTCTAATCCTGTTATTGTCTATCCATGAGTGTGTGCAGCTCCCAAGAGGCAGGTGACAGGAGGGGAGAAGGACACATCTGGGGGAAGTGTCTGTTTGTCTCTTAAAAAGGAAGGATTTAACTTCTTCACTCAATCTTAGCATCTCATCAAATGCCCACAGGTCATCGACAACACTATAGACAAACAAAGTATACTTAAAGACAGATTACTAAAAGACTTGAACCAAAATCCCACTGTGCTTTTCTGTATTTCTCAATACAGATGCACTCCAAAGCATTTTACTTCCATGAAAACAATGAATTAAACCTCAGAGCATGGGGGAAAGAGGGTCTGGGGACTTAAATTTTCTCTTGTGGTAGTTTCTAATCCAGGCACTGCAATGCTAAGCAGGTGAGAACAAATGTTTAGTCACAAAATACTGTATTAAACTTATAAAGACTTCTCCATGTCTGCTGTTTATTTCCATTGAACAGAAAGCACATGAGCAGAAAACACTGGCACACACAACAACCCATTGAAACTATCATCTCAGTCTTAATAATTGAAGGGCAAGGACAAGCTCTTCTATTTGCAAGGGCCCTGATTTTTTCTTTCCTGGAATCCCATGTGAGCACAGATTCAACTCTAAACACATTTTAAGATCAGAGCTGAAATGATGCCTTTAACACACAATGTTTCTTCGTTGTACCATCTAGTGCTTAGGAGAGAGAAAGAATTCCTAATGTGGTGTGTACACAGCATGAGACTAAACACAGGTAAAATGAAGAAAATGTCCTTGGATYCTTCCAAGTTGTTTTTGTAGTAAGCAAAATAAATAAGATATCCTTTTCCATTTTCTTGTTTGTTTTTTTTTGTTAATGCAACTTAGAAAATTGGTTGTTGTTTTACTCMATTGCAGTTTTCTTTAACTGACTCCATTTAATTACGAAGTTATGTACTTTAGGAGATGCTTTTAGTACTGTCTTGGGAATCTGAATATTATCTTTACATTTTAAAAAGTGAGAACATAAATTCCTTTCAYGAAGACCTGCAGTGAAGCTGATCTGTGGTGACCCCTTGTGGTAAAATGCAACCYCAGCTTTACATGACTAAAGCAGGTTGGGTGTGACTGGGGGAAGAGGAGGAAGAGCAGCAATTTTTTATTTTGAGCAATAATGCTCTTTATCTTTTGAAAGGATAGTAACATCAAAATTTATAACGTTTTGGACTGCTTTTAGGAGAGGAGCTTGGAGAGATACTTGAGTCAAATTCTTCTGAAAAGCGAAATAAAAACATGCTATGAATGTTCATGATTTTTCCCAAGCTTTTTCCTTGTGCAAGGATTCATACCAGTGCAAGGAATATGCAGAGTTCTGCTGCCTCAGAGAAGTAGATATTTCCATTCACTTTGCACAATTTTAAGTCAAAGGTGAGGAGTAGAAAAGTGAGTGGATTTTTTGACTTCTCCAACAAAAACACKGCTGGTCTCCAAAGGGAGCAAGTCCTGTTCTCAGGAGCAACCTGTAACACATTAGAGATTTCCTGACATTCTGAGCTTTCCTTGATTATATTCCAGACAGCATGCTTTTTATTTTTTCAAGAATACCACTGGAGGTCACTCATGTACTAACAAATAGCGCTGCAGGGAAAAAAGGTAATCTAAACTACAAAAGAATGAACTCAGCTTGACTTGAAGAGGACACTGAATTGGAATTGAGTTTGGAAATACGTTGTGCAGATATTCTTCAAATTTACAGTAGGCTACAATAAAAGTAGCAAATAAACTAATTACCTTATTTTTTTTACAAAAAGACCAAAAAAAAAGAAACCCCACTACATTAACAAACCAAGTTAGCTTTGATCTAGCTACAGTAATAATCAAAATGCAGCACAACTCTGTCAAAAAAAAACAAAAATAGGAAAAAGGAACCCATCTGAAAATGCTCACTGGGGTCACATCCCTTGGCAAGAAATTGCAAACAAAATATAAGATAGGAGAGGAAAGACTGCATGGGMATTTTCTCACTGTGATATTTCTGATAACAAAAAAATTGCAAGGAAGAAGTAATAAACTCT